GGAAGGCACCGAGAGGGACATTTTTCGCGCAATGGTCAAATCAAGGTTTTGTAACGCGAGCTGTGCCACAGTGAAATGGCACTAGCCAGTGCTCTCTGCTGCCGTGGGTGGCGCCCCTGTCGGTTCGGAGGCGCCCGCGCGGCGGCCGCGCGCTTGGTGCCGACGTCGACCGGCTGCTCTCGCGGTGCCGAGACGTGCCGCTTTGGTTACGTCTCGCGCGCTGCGAGGTGTCTTTTGGCATGTGAGCGCTTGGCATAGACGCCAGGATACTTGGCTCCCACGCCTGTGCGGCCGCGGGCGAGCGGGCGGGCACGCCAGGCTCGGCGACGCTCTGCGCGGGTCTTCGAGCTCGCAGCCCGCGGCGAGCCAGCATGGCTCGTCGTCGACAAACAGGTTGAGCAAAATTTCGGCGAAGAAGCCCCACCGGCGGCACGCCGGGATCGATCCGGACCGATCCCATTGTTCCGAACCGCGACGGCGACACACACACAGGTAGGTAGGTAGGTACACACACACGTAGGTAGGTCCGCATGATGTTGAACTGCACCCCCACCGTCTTCGCCCCCCGCCCGACGAGCTCACACCCCTGCCGCCGCGACGCGTGCGGATGCGGCTCGTCAGCAAGTACTGCAGAAACACGAGGGTGAGCTGCTGGCACGGATACCCGTCCCGCATCCCGTTCGCAAAGTTGGAGCGCATGTCCGCATCGCCGCCGTCTTCGTCAAGCCGCTCCATCTCCGTCTGGAAGTCGTCCCACCGCTTCGCCACCTCGTCGCACTGCCTCTTCAAGTGCTCGCCGAGCGGCGCGAGCATCTGAGCCGCCCGGCCCGCCGGCTCCGCAATGGGTTGATGCAGCACCGCCGCCACGAGGGCGCTCCGCCTCCGCTTCGCCAGGCGCGCCGTGGTGTCCGTCGCCGCGAGCGGCGCCAGCAGCGCCGCCTGCTCCGCCGTCCGCTCCTCTGCCGCCGCCCGCTCCGCCTCTCTGGGCGCCTCCGCACGTTCCTGGTGCTGCACGGCGCGCAGCTCGCCCGCCGCGCGCCTCTCCCTCTTGGTGATCGGACGGCCGTGCGCGAACGGGTCGTCCGCGTCGCCCGCCGCCGCCCGCCTCTCGTGTGGCACGGTGTGCAGCGCCTCCGCCGGCCACGCGAGCCGGATTGCCGCGCCGCGGCCCTCGCCCAGCCGCTGGAATGCTCCGCCGCCTTCGTTCGCCTTGTCAGCCGCTCGGGCCGCCGCCGTCAGCGCCGCGCCCTTGCCGACGAACAGGAGCGGATTCGGCATCGCAAGCCGAAGCGAAGGCGACGTCGTCGGCCATCAACAACTTTGCCTGACGCGCAATCGCCTCCCTTGGCTGACACGCTCCGCGTGCTTTCTTCCGCCGGCGCTCGCCTTTCGCCTGACACACAATCGCGCCACTACCAACATACATATGTAGGAAGGTGAAGAACAGTCAGGCTCGGACTGGACACCAACGCGGTATGGGTGGACGCTGGACAGATGATGACGACACGCACGAGCGACACACAGACACAAACAAGCTCACGAGACACACAGCCAGCGGGCTGCCACACATCCTGAGTGGGCGCGTACACATCACTCAGGCCACGTCCCCCCTGTCGCCCCCCCCAGCACTCCAAGGTGCCAAGAGACAAACAACAGCACAACAACACACAGACAGGCGACAGGGGCGAACGTGTGAGACTAGAGCAGGCTTGCTCCGCCTCTAGCAATCTCGTCGCCGGCCGCAAGGCACGGACGAGACCGTGTGTGGGGTCTTGTGAGGTGTCTATGGACGCCCTCCTCACAGGCTAGCGGCCAGCCGCCAGCCCTATCTCGCACTCATGGGTGACGACAGTTCATTGGATGAGTGGTTGCGAGCAGAGGCGCGTGTGCTGAATCTAGATCGCACGCCGTGGCATATGACTTGGGTAGGCGTGCGACCGCAGCGCGCCCGCCGAAGGCTCGACCGGGCGCGCGTGTCAGCCAGAAGTTTGCCAGTAGAGCGATCCTGGTCTTTCCGAAGACGAGCCCCGCGCCACGGGCGCCAGCCGTGCCTCCGCGGGAGCCGCCTCTCGAGCCGCGTCCCGCCGGCACTGTCCCTGAGTGCGTCCCGCCTCAGCGGCACGCACTCGGCGAGGACAGTCCGGCCGACAGGAACGTGTCGCGCGCCGGCGACGAATGCGGCGGGGTGGGTGTGGGTACAAAGCGCCGCTTCGACGAAGCGAGGTAGGCAGGCGCCCCTCACGAGTCCGTTCAGACATGCCACACGCCCCTCGCAAGCGAGGTTGGTAGGCGCCCCTGGCGAGACCCGCAAGAGATCTAGGCGTGCCAGCCATCCTTATGTTTATACCAAAAGGAGGGCTACACGACGCCCTCTACGCTGGGGTGCCGGCGCCCTACTGGGCAGCCATCCTTATCACGGATGGCTGTGAAACAGCGAGTAAGCCTGCAGCGAGACGTGCGTCCTACCTGCCATCGTGCAGTCGCCATGGCGCCCGCCACCGCGAACCAAGCTTAGCCAGCGGACGCAACCAACCTAACTGAGCGCCGCTGCGCACGTGACCTCGCATATCGCGATGTCACGTCGCAGCGGTGAGCGGGGAGGTGGTGGCGATGGCCGACGTGGAGCCAGCGGCCCTCGCCGCCTTCGGAGCTCTAGGAGCTCTGGAGGTGGCAGCTCTGATGGCTCCAGCGGTGGTCGCAGCTTCGACGGCGACGACGGCAGTGGCGATGGTGGCGTCGGCGGCGGCGGTGGCGTCGGCGGCGGCGGTGGCAGCGGCGGCGGCGGTGGCAGCGGCGGCGGCGGTGGCAGCGGCGGCGGCGGTGGCAGCGGCGGCGGCGGTGGCAGCGGCGGCGGCGGTGGCAGCGGCGGCGGCGGTGGCAGCGGCGGCGGCGGTGGCAGCGGCGGCGGTGATACAGAGGACAGCAACACTGACCAACTTTACCGCCGCTCGCAGCGCCTTCAAGCCAGCCAGGCTCGTGAGGCTGTTGAGTCTGCTGCTCCTTCCCTGCCGGCTGAGTCAGCTGCTACTCGGCTGCAGAGGCTGGCGCGGATCGCTGAGTCGCAGCTGGCGGCGGAAGAGCGGCTGGCTGCAGCGGCGGCGGAGGCTGCAGCAGCCGAGGCGGCGGCTCAATCGCAGGCTGAGGGCGAGTGGATGCCCCCCCAATCGGACGGGGCCGCAGACAGCTGGTGGTTGGAGGAGGCGGAGGGGCGGCCGCTGGAGGATGGGACGACCATGTCCTACCTCGAGGTGCTCGAAGAAGAAGCTCGGAGCCAGAGGCTCCGGCTTCACATCGAGCACCAGCTCCTGCGGCAAGAGGAGAACCGGCAACTGCTCTTCGAGAGTAGATGCGGGATCTGCCTCTGTGACTTCTCCGAGGTGGAAGAGACGGCGACCATCTGCCAGCTTGGCTGTCACCACACCCACGCTTTCTGTGCGGGCTGCTTGCGGAGCGCCTTTGGAGCTCGGTCAAACCAGCAGGCCCCACCGGACTGCCCGCTGTGTAAAGCACAGGTCTCGGAGGCCGACCAGGCCTTCGTCGAGGCGGCGGCCGGCCGCTCGGCGGCGTGCCATGCGGCCAAAACGCGGGCAGACGCGGACGCCACGCGCCAGGCCGCATGGGACGCCCTCCCGCCGGCGGCGGAGAAGGTGAGCCTCCCTGATGCGAGGGCGCCACCGGCGGTGCCGCCGGGAGGCGAGTGGGAGTGCATTGACGCGCACAGCGCCTTCCAGTGCGCCGTCTCCCCGTGCAGTCACGTTCTCGAGGTACCGGATTCGCTGCGAGGCGAGTGGGCGAGAGCCAATGTCGACGTCTTCGACTTCATTCAGGCTGCCAAGAGCTCGGGCGATGAGCTGGCGCTCGAGCGCGGGCTCAAGTGGCAACTATGTCTGCATGACGTGCTCCTGCGAGGGCCGGCGCGCACCTCTCGGGGCGGCGGTCGCTCCATCGACGTGTCGACGTCTCTCGCCCTGCGCTTCCAGCGGTGGCGCAACGGCGAGCGGGCCGCCCTCCTCTGCGCCTGGGAGGCCGATCGCACCAGAGCGTGGTCGGCTCGGCGTCGGAGCGCGCATCGCCGCGAGAGCTTCGAGGAGCGGACGGAGCGAGAGCGCTCGGCAGCGGTGTCCGCGGCGCTCGCGCTCTTCGCGGACGGCGAGATCTCTCGCGCGATGCGGATGCTTCACTCGCTGGGCATTGCCGACCTCTCGGCCTCCGTGCTCCTGCAGCTGCGCAGGAAGCACCCGGAGCGCGATCGCCCCGTCCCGCACGACCTGCCCGTGCAGGTCCCGGCGGTGCGGGTGAGCCTCACCGAGACGTTCCGCAAGCTGCGGCGGCGCGCGGGCACCGGGCCTTCGGGCAACCGCAACGAGTACCTCAGGGTGCTCACCCACTCCTTCGACGACGCCAAGGCCGACAGCGTCATGCAGAAGTACGATGCCTTCGCCTCGGAGCTCGCCAGCGGGGACTTGCCGACCTGGTTCTACGGCGCCGCCTCGATCGCCTCGTTGATGCCTCTCGTCAAGAAGGCGGTCACGCAGGCCGACGTGGAGGCCATGCGACAGCCTGACGTGCGGCCAGTGGTGGTGGGCGAGGTCACCCTGCGGTCCATCCTCACCTCGGTGACTGCCAGCGTGGCCCCGGCGATGGCGGACGTGCTCGCGCCACAGCAGGTGGCGGTAGGAGTCTCGGGCGGAATCTCGATCATGATCAACGGGATCCGCATCTTGCTCGAGCAGCGAGGCGACTTTGTGCTCGTCAAGATCGACCTCAAAAACGCGTACAACGAGATCGATCGGTCGGCGCTTCTCCGCCGCTGCTCGGAGGTGCCGGAGCTGGCGCCGTTCATGCCGCTTCTTCACGCGACGCTCATGTCCGCGACGAGCCTGCTCGTCGGGCCCCAGCGGACGCGGCTCTTTGAGCAGCACCACCTCGAGGGGCAGACGTGCCGCGCTGAGACGTCGCGTGGCGGCGACTCGGCGACCGGCACGCAGCAGGGCGGGCCTCCATCGAGCGGCGCCTTCTGCATCGCCATCCAGCCGGAGCTGGCTGCCCTCGACGCCGAGCTGAGGCCGTTCGGTGGCGGGGCTTGGGCGGAGATGGACGACATCTTCGCGCTAGGACCGGCGGCCGCCGTGTTCCCGGCGGTCAAGCGCTTTGGCGAGGCGGTCAAGGCGTCGCTCAACCTCGAGATGCAGGTCTCGAAGCTCGAGTGCTTCTCTCCCGAGTACAACCTCTCGCACTGCCCGTGGCGGGAGGCGTTGGGCGCGCCAGTCGGCATGGTGCTGGTGCCGGAGGAGGATGGCGGGTCGCGGACGTACCGAGGCGTGATGGTCGCGGGCTGCCCAATGGGGGAGGCAGGGTTTGTGGATGCGTGGTTACGCGCCCAGGTGAGCAGTATCGTGAGCTACATCGACAAGACAGTTCTTTCGCTACGTGCTGCGAGCCCCCACGCGCTGTGGGCCGCCATCTACTACTCCTGCTCCGCCAAGTTCGACTTCATCCTTCGGCACCTCCCTCCCGACAAGACGGTGTCCCACGCTCGCGTCGTCGACGCTGCGCTCACCCGTGCCGCTGAGGCGTGCGGCTACGAGGGCGTGCTCGGCGACGCCATCACCGCGCGGCGGGCTCGCCTGCCTGCGCGGATGCGCGGCCTCGGCCTGCGCTCGCTCGAGGAGGTGGCGCCAGCTGCGTTCTGCGCCTGCTTTGTCGAGGCGGCCGAGAGGTTCCTCGACAGGTCGACGCCCGGCGGCGGCAGAGAGCGCGGCTTCTTCCAGATGCTCGCTCCGCTCTTCGGCCACGGCGCCTTCGAGTTGCCGTACCCGAACAGCCCTCGCCTCTCGCGCTTCCTCTCGGGCTGCACCACCAACGTCAACCCGCTCGGCGCGCAGCTGGGGCAGCTGACGCCGACGGGCGAGTCCTTCAAGAAGGCGTGGGAGGGCATGCAGCGAGAGGTCCGCGGCGAGGGCGTGGCGGGACCTCTCGATGTCCGGGCTCCCGAGGCTGGCAACGGGCGGGCCGGCAGCGCTGGGCTACAGCGGCAGCTGACGCAGCAGCGGGAGCAGGTCAAGCGCAACCAGCTCAGCCGCAGCATCCTCGGGCTGCCGCACGGCGACACGCGGCGGGAGGCGTGGCTGGCCGTCGACTCGTTCTCGTCCGCGTGGGTGAGCTCATGGCCCTCGGCTCAGAACCGGTGCGAGGCGCGCGAGTTCCGCGAGATCTTCTGCACCTACCTCGGCCGGGAGAGCCCAGCCGTGCGCGCGCTCGTGGGCAAGAGCATCGCCTGCTCCGGCCGCGGCCCTCCTCGAGTCTGCGATGCCTTTGGCGTCCAGCTGGGCTTGGCGACGCTCAACGACCGCGCCCACGGCAACTGCCACGACGACATCTTCTCACGCGTGATCGGTGATGCGCTGCACGCGGGGCTGCGCGGCAAGGAGGAACCGCGCGAGATCTTCAGCGCCGTCATCCCGCCTGTCACACTCAACGGCACAGCTGGCACGCGCGGCAAGAACGGCATCGTGCCGGATGGGCGCCTGCACTGCAAGCTGCGCGAGTCCCGCACGGCGCGCTGCACGGGCACACGAGGCCAGGCGCATCCGTCTGTCCGGTGGCGCGGCACGACAGTGCAGCGCGGGCCCGAGCAGCCGCCGGCGGAGCACCTCCTCGAGGGCAAGACCATCCACCGCGGCGGGCCTCACTACATGAGCGCTCGGGCGCGCGACGATGGCCAGGGCGGCGCTGTCGCCGACAGGGCGAACCTTGTCCAGCGCGACTACGAGGCGCGGGCGGCGGCGCTCGATGCCAAGCCGCACGTGCAGGCATGGAACAACGGCTCGAGGGACGCCGTTTCCTCCGTGCTGCGCTCGTTTGGCATCGTGCGCAGCCTCGTTGTCGGGGCCTACGCGGAGGCGTCGGACGACCTGCACCGGCTGTTCGACTGTGTGGTGGAGTCGGCATCCAAGCAGCACTGGAGGCGGATCGGCGCGCGTAGCGCGAAGGAGGCGCGGTCCTACTTCGCTACGACGCTGCGGCGGGCGTGGGGCGTGCACTTTGCGCGCGAGTTCGCGCGGCACCGCATCCGACGCGTGGTGTTCGTGGGGGCCCCGCGGCGACAGCCGGGCAGGCCTCTCGCGACGGCCGATGGAGACTGGCCAGCGCTGTCGGCGGGCGAGTTTGCGGCGCACGCGCTGCGCGTAGGCGGCGCGTGGGCGGGCGGCCCGCCCGGCCGTCGGTGAGCACCGGACGCGAGGGTCGGTCGGCTCTTAACTAGCTGTATATAGTCGCGATCTGCCGGCGTGCGTATGAGCTCACTAGCTAGAGCTCACACTAGAGGCCGTCATCGCATTCGCCTTCCTGGGACCCAGCGCTGACTTCTGACTGTCGTTGCTGTCTCTCCCCCTTCTCGACTGTCTGTGCTTGTGCGTCTTGGGTCCGGAGTTGTGCGTTTATGTGAAACAGGGAGCGCAGCCCCTCCAAGTGCACATTCGAGGTTAGCCAACCCTGCCCCAAATGGCCTGCCCCAAATGGTTGCCGAGGAGTTCTGCGTGTGGTACGACGTGGTGAAGCAGAGCTGGCGACCGGGTTCCCAGGACGGCGCCGATTCGCGCTGGCCACGCATCGGCGAGCTCGTCGGGCGCTCGGCGACCAACGGCACGGTGTGTGATGGGTACGGGTCACGGCAGTTTGGAGAGCGCGCCGGTCGCGTCCCGTGCGCGCAGTGCCCTGGCGATCCGTACAAGCGCGACACGTGGTCGGTGCTGCAGTGCTCGAGCACGCCGCTCGTGCCCATCTCGCAGAGGATAAGTCCTGCGTGGCGTCCGCTGAGTGTGTTGGGGAGCGCGCCTCGCGGCGTGCTGCTGGTCGTCTCGGATCACAACAACCACGGCCTCTTTGCCCAGGTTGAGCGCGTCCTCAACCAGCTCCACCTCGCCGCGGAGCGCGGACTCACGCCGCACGTCTTCCTCGGCCACAAGGTTGGTAGCGGAGAGCAGAGACGGCTCTGCCGCGCGCGCTGTCTCCAACGCTTCCTAGACACTTCCGAGACACTTCCGAGACACTTCTCGGCCAGCAGGTCCTCAACGCGCTTGGGTTCCCTCGGCGTTACCTCGGGGTAATCTCGGCGCAATCTCGGCGCAGGTCTTCAACGCACCCGACGCCTGCGACGTGGGCGAGAACCAGTACTACCGCTCTCTTGCAAGTACGGCGCGCTCTCGAGCTAGGATGGTACCATTCAAAGTAGGCGAGAACCAGTACTACGAGAGCGGCCGCGGCCCCAACGTCTGGGACTACTACTTCGAGCCCGTGTCCGAGTATACGACCGGCGCAGCGACGCTGGGCGGCCGCCCCACCATACCTCCAGCGTGATCGAGTCCAGCGTGTGGGTTCAGTCCCGTGGGTGGTGCGGTAGGCGGACGCCCCGTGCGCCTCTTCTCCGCGTCGGTGGAGGACGCGCGCCGGCACGAGATTCCACGAGATTCCCCGAGATTCCCCGAGATTAGGCTCGACGGCCCGCCCGATATGGACAGAGAAGCCCGAGATATCCCTTCGCCGAGATTCGCCGAGATTCGCACCTCTGCTCTTCTATTACGCCATCCGCGCCGCCGGCGACGCAAAGTTCAAAGAAAGTTCAGGGAAAGCTCAGGGAAAGTTCTCCTCAGGTACGCCCTCCGCACCGCCGGCCGGCACGTGAAGTGTCTGGGAAGTGTCTCGGAAGTGTCTAGGTATGCCATCCGCACCGCCGGCGACGCGGTCACGTCTTACTTTGAGTTCAAGCGCTACTCCGAGGAGTCCGCACACGCCATCCGCACGCCGCGGTGTGGACGGCGTCTCTTCACACCGCCAGCTGTGAACAGGCGACTCGTTCCGCGACTTCAAGCTCCCGCTGTGTTCACAGCGTCTCTTCACACCTCCCGCTGTGAACAGGAGCTGCACGCCATCCGAACACGCGTGCGCGCGTTCGGCGCCCGCCTCTAAAAGAAAGAAAGAAAACGGACCACCCAAAGGGAGGGGATGGGAGGACGGCACACGCCGCCACCACACAGGGATATTAAGGAGAGGAGTGTGGTGCTAGCCATCGCCCACCCTTGGAGCGTCTGCCTCTGCCTCGCCACGCCTACCCATTGGGCCTCCTCCCATCTCCCTTCGCCCGCCTCTGCCTCTGCCTCTGCCTCGCCACGGCGTGTTTCTTTTTCTGAGGGCGGACGTGCCTGTAGGCCAGCGCTAGTTGGCACACGAGCCGCCATGTTTCTCTTCCCGACGCGCGTTTCTTTTCTTGAGGGCTGCAGGCGCCAAGCTGGTCGGCACATGGCTGCGTGTCAAGCCGGCGCTGCGCACGGAGGCTGCGGAGCTGCTGCAGCGCTGGCGCTCCTCGCTGCCTCCGGGGGGGAGGCTGCTGGGGGTGCACGCCCGAGGAACCGACAAGGCCGCCCGCGCTAGACGCGGAATGCGTGTCCTTGTGTTCGAACTAGCGCTCGAGACGACGCGCACTCAACTGTGCTCGGCCGCCTTCCGCCGTATTCAGCTGCCGTCGCAGAGCCCCTCGTATCCAGACGGTGCTTCGGATACTGTGCACCGTGCCGCATCCCCCCCCATCTCTCCCTATCTCCCCCTTATCTCCCACTACTCCCCCTATCTCCCCCTATCTCCCCCTATCACCCCCTATCTCCCCCTATCACCCCCTATCTCCCCCTATCTCCCCCTATCTCCCCCTATCACCCCCTACTCCCCCCCTATCTCCCCCTATCACCCCCCCCCCACACACACACAAGGCCGCCCACCCGAAGTTCCCGCTCGAGCGCTTCTTCGCGCCGATCGACGGCTTCCTCGCCGCGCACCCCGGCTCGCGCATCCTCCCACACCACCCAATGACCTGAACCCACACTGGGTTCGAGACTCTGGAGGTATGGTAGGCTCGCGCATCCTCCTCGCCACCGATGATGCGCGCT